CTTTTTATTTTGGTAAAGAGTAACCATCTCAGAAACTAACCGGAGCAGTTCCCCCCTGTCCTACAGGGTCATTATGAATCAGAATGAATTCGATGGCAATGAGTTTGGCTTTTCTTTAGTTTGGGTAGTGTTAATAGACTAGACATTGCCCTACATACCTCCAGGTTGGTGGTCCAAACTTTCTAGCTACTGGGAGAAAGATGAGGCTGGCTGCTCTTGTCTCTCAGAAGCCCTAGATGGATCACTATCAGTGGGAATTGACTTCGTGGCAGCAGGTTTGGTTATTTTCAGTTAACATCAGAGAAGCATCTTATTCTTCACAGGATGACTCTAAGCCTTCTGAATATTAAGTTAACAGATGGGATGGAATTTGTATATGAAAGTACAAGTTGGTTTGAATCTAATGCTCAAAGTAAGTGTCAAGCTATTTTGTTGTCCTGATGCTAAGGTATGCACCACATCCACATGATTGACTTCCCACAGTTGAAGAAAAAGAAAGAAACCTGAACAGTTGCCATTGCAACGACCTCAGTTTTACTTCCAATAAAAAGGAAACCGTTTTTGATGACAGACATGACCACTTATATTCATCTCAAAAAGCAAGAAGAAGCTAGAACTAATGGAAGAACAGAGCTAAAGTACAAAAATGATGGACGCAGGAAGGTGCAGCTCTGCCTGAGTGTCCCATACAATCCTACACCTTCACATGTTGAGATGTGTTTGCAGGTCTCTGAATCGCTTTGAATCACAGAGAGAGAGAATGCAGGCCTCTACAGCACCTGGGAATGTGGAGTGCCATCTTTCCAACTTTCATTTCCATCTGCTGCCAAGGGGCCGTTGAGGGGCCTTTCCATCCTTCCACAAAGCCTTCCAAGATACTCAAAGGCAATATTAAACTGTGTCTGGGTTATGAGTGGAGCTGCTAATCACAAGATCAGCAGTTCTAACCCACCAGCCACTCACTGGGAGAAAGATGAGGCTTTGTGCTCCTAAGATTTCTCAGCTCAGACATCTTCTGTCAAGTTGCTCTGAGTCACACTCTGCTCCATAGCAACGGGTTTAAGTTTTAGTTTCCTTGTTTCCCCTTGGCTTTGTGAATCTTTCTTAGCCCCTGAGTTAGTTAATTGTGCCAGCCTGGCCGAAAATCACATGTGGGGCTAATTGAAAGGCGGAGGGATAAATGGGTGGTGAGCCTCACCTTTGTAGTTCTCGGGTCTCTTGCTTTGTGATGGTTGCATCGGGTGCAGCTGCCTTAGCAGTTCCCTGCTTCAGTTTGCAAGATGGATTTCCTACAAGGAGAAGCCGCATGGATCTATCCTGATGCAGCCCTGGGTGCTGGAGCAGCCGTGTGGAGACCCCTGCCAGTGCTGAGATGCTTCCACGTTCATGGACTCAGCTTTCCTCCTGCAGTCAGCATCATTGCCTCTGTTTTGTGAGGTGGAGGACTTTGTGGACTGGTGTTGGGTATGGGTTAATGTTGGACTTGTGGGCTTGGGCAGCATTGGGTTGGGATGTTTTCGTGATGCACCTTTTCTTTACATAAAACTCTCTCTTATATATGAGTTGCTGTGGATTTGTTTCTCCAAAGTACCCAGACTAATACAGCCCCTGAAGTTTGAGAATTACTAGTCTGTGTATCTGCCCCGTACCACACTGTGACTGTGAGTTCTTGGAGAATAGAGACCTGGTCAGAGGGGTAAGTTTAAAACCATGGCAATTAAAATCACAGAAACAGTTATCAAACAAAAAATTAAAAAACGACAAGTTATTGTTCCCTGACATCTACATCGATAGACTACGGACAGGCAGCTTCCACCTCCTTAACCCTTCTATGAAGACGGCCGTGCTTTCCCATTGAATTCATGTCAAAATACTGAGACTCAAGCTGTGTTCCTTTTCAATGTTTATTGAATTTGAGGAACAAAACCAACTCCGAAGAGGCCAGATCAGGGAAGCTGGGTAAATGAGTAAGGTGCGCCAACAAAGTGCACATAGAAAACCAGACAAGACAACACAAAACAAACTTTGGTGCGACTTTCCTAATCTTTTTCTCATGAAGGTAGCTTTCCCTTTCCTGAAAACTTCTTCCTAATAAGCCCCTGGGATTGTCTCACATACTTCAATCAAATCGATATAGGCTACCCCTTTGGATTCTCACCAAAAAAGCAGTTGCCATAGCGTTCTCAGGTGACGTTTCTGCATTTGGAGTTATCTGGCCCAGGTGATTCCATGGAATGTCCCTAATTGGACATATTTTTGGTTTGGTTTTGTTAAGTTACCTTAAGGAGACTAAGACAAGTGCACAAGGGAGCTTCAAAAAGTTTAAGGAAAGTGGGATTAATGAACAATATAATTTCCCAAAAACTTTTGAAGCCCGTTGTGTGGACATGTTTAAACACTGCTGGTTTGGAATAAACGTGCACATGAAATGGAACCAAGTAGCAATACTTTTTGACTCACTCTCCTATCGCCCCTATTCTTCTTCCTTGAGGGTGTTTGTGTGTGTGTGTGTGTGTGTGTGTGTGTGTGTGTAGCAAAACAAGGGGATTACACAAAATGCACTTCTAACAAATGTAAGCAGGAGAGAAGGAGTGATTCATGTCTGTTTATCCCATCCTAGTAAACGCATGCTATGATTTAGCCTACTCACTGTGATATGCTATTAAAAAAATAATTTGCCTTACAAAAGTTTTCCAGAAGTAGGACAGATGTACTGTGACCCACTTTCTATGAAAGGAAGTTTTACTGAAGCCACCAAAGAAGAGAAAGAACAGTATTTTCCCCCTCCTTTTCACGGTAAGTAAAAACCCAGTTTTGGAGTTACTATGTCAGAAATAAAACAAAGCAAATAAAAAAACCCACCTTATTGCCATTGAGTTGATTCCGACTCATAGCAACGCTGTAGAACAAGGAAGAACTACCCCCTGTGGGTTTCTGAGACTAATTCTTTTTCACCAGGAGCAGGTGGTGGTTTCGAACTGTTGATCTTGGACATCACAGCCAAATGCGATGCCACTATGCCACTATGCTGTTAACCTGAGCAAAGGAGTTCTTAATGGTAGCGTATTAGCATTTGAGTGGTATGTGAGAGGATTGGACAGTGTCTCTCAAAGCCTCAAATACAAAGACTAGTTTTTAGGATTCATTACAACCCAGTGGGATTTTTAACCATGACAAGTAGAAAAATGAAGGAAAGCTGCTTAATTTGATGAGCCTTAGTTGTGCAGTAGTGCTGCTAATCACAAGGTCAGCAGTTCAAAACCACCAGCTGCTCCTCATGAGAAAGAAGGGGCTCAGCATATTGGAAACCCAGGCAGTTCTGCCCATCCTACCCTGTCCCTATAAGTGATCTAGGGTTGCTACTGTTCGGTTTTGTCTAGGTTAAATAAGTCCTCGCGGCACTGTCAAGTAAGTATTGAACTGCTAAAGGCAGTGTTGGCTGTAGTTCACACCCACTAGCCACTGCTAGGAAGAAAGATGAAGCTGTTTTCCTAAATATTTGCAAAGCCTCCATCACAGTGAGTTTTTGCTGTGGTCCTTTAGGTAAAACCTTTATCTATCCAGGGGTCCTCTTTGCAAATATCAGTTTATTCCTGAATTCTTTTTATCAGTGTTACCGGGGTAAGTTTAGGAGGTAACTCGAACTTGGCGCTGTGGGTTAGGGGATTCCGGTGTTGTGGGTTATGCATTGGGCTTCTGACTGCAAACATTGCAATTCAAACCCACTCCTTCTGGGAGAGCCCCCTATGGACTCCATGGCAGTGGGTTTGGGTTCTCTGCTGTTACCAGCTGTGTAACACTTTCCTTCGTTTTTTAAAGCTGTCAGTTCTCCTGCAAAACGAGGCCCACCCCAGCCCAAATCCAGGGCCATGGAGTAGATTCTGGGCAGAGATTTGCCCTAGAGAGCGTCCAACATGGCAAACCTTTAAGGAAACAACCAAGCTGTCACATCTCTCTCCCACTGTGAGCCTGGGTGGGTTTCAACAAAGCACTTTGAACATCACCAACCCGCACCGCCCCCCCACCAGATTGAGCAGGGCTATTGCGTGAAGTGGTGCAGGTTGAACATTTCAGCGCATAAAGAGTCCCCGGGCAGTGAATATTCATCCCAAGCCAAGCAATGGGAAGGAAGTGAGACAGTTTGAACTGGTGGGGAAGGCTCCCTGATGGAGATACAGGCCTGTCCCAAAGGAAGCCTTTTCTCCATCAGAGGCTTCCCTAGGTCCTCTGATGCACTTCCTTGTGTTAAAGGGGACACGCTATCATCTTAAAGTCCCTTTACATCTCCATAGGGAACACGTTCCTGTTAGTCGCTGGCCTTTGCAATTTTAAGAGCAGAGGGTCCTCAGGCTCAGGCCGCGACCCTTTCATACAGTTCCTCCTGTGGTGGTGCCCCCTCCCCCCCAACCATAAAGCTATTTTCATTGCTACTTCTTCACTGTCATTTTGCTACTGTTATGAATCAGGCGACCCCTGTGAAAGGGTCCTTCGACCCCCAGGTTGAGGACTGCTGAATAGAGACGTGGGGACTTTTGACAGTCTGATCCGGGCTTCGTGTAGATCGGTGGTCCTCTGGTCAGCCGCGAGGTGACATTTCCATTTCCTGCCCGCGGCGCTCCGCACGCGAGGAGCGGAACTGGGGATCCCGTGCGAGTGGTGGGGAAAGGCCACCTCTCGGGGCGCGGCCGGCCTCCCCCTCCGCGTGACGTCAGGCCCGGCCCCCGGCCCCGCCCCGGCGGGGCCGCGCGGCTATAAAGCCGCAGGTGGTGGCGCGCCCAGGAATGAAGGCTGGGTCGCCCGCTGCCCGCACCCCCGTGGGAACCCGGAGCTCGCCCGGCGCCGCGCAGGTGCACCGCCACCACCGGCCGAGCCCGCCGCGCCTGGGAGCGCATCGCACACGCCTGTCTCCTTCCTCTCCCTCCTCCTCCTCCTCCACCTCCTCCTTCTAGCGCGGGTCCGCGCGGCCCCCGAGACTGAGACGCAGCCGCTCCAGGGGACCCATGAGAAGCTCGCGGCTGCCGCCGGCGCCCGTGGTGCTGTCACTGTTGATCTTCAGCACAGGTGAGGAGCGCCCGGCTCGGACCGGCCCGAGCTGCCCCGGGGCCGGCCGGGGCCGTCGCCGCTGGACTTTGGCTTCGGGAAGAAGACTCTTGGGCGCCCCCACCTCTGGCCCCAGCGGGACGATCTCTCTGCCCCTCGCTCCTCAGGTGGCCTTCCTAGGAAGCAGGGAGGTGTCTGTCTTTCAGCTTCCAGGACAAATCTAGCCAGCGCTACCGGAGAGCTCTTGCAATCCAAGTCTTTTCTTTTATTAATCAGGGGTGAACTGATTCCCGCAGGTCTCCCGGGGCGAGGAGGAGTCCGGTGCTGGACCCAGAGGGCGGCTGCCTGCCTAAACGCTCCATCTCCGTCTGGGACTTTAGCTTTATCTTCCGCAGGTGGCCGGCCTCTCGGTGTCCCAGAAGGAAGTTAGAAGCGCCACTTTGAGGCTGATTCAGTGAGCACTAAAAGACAGCGTCGCGGTGGGTTAGACAGTGAGCTGCTAACTGCAAGGTGGACATTTCAACCCCACCAGCTGCTCTGCGGGAGCCTGTCTCCCAGGAACAATGTACCCTAGAAGGCGGCATCTCCTGCAGTCCTTGGGATTCTTTTGATAAAAGATAAAGCAGGGGAGTTGTCTGTGCCCCAAATGTAACCTACTATGCAGTGTCTACTCTCTATAGAAACAGTAATGAGACTAGTTATTCGTTTGCCATTTGCTATTTATATTCCTTTTGCTTTTCATAGACATAATCTCTGAAAAACAGGAGGATGTGTTAAGAAAATCTGATATATCCAGAACCTGCCTTTTAAAATGGGACAGAGTAATAAACTGGCCAAGACAAATGTGTTTGGAACGTGAAGAGGGAGAAAATATATAGGAGTCGTCTATAGCCATCACCTGCTAAATAGTGACCCTTGATGAATTTTCTTATTTGGCAGCATTATTTTTTAATGTGAAAATTAATGTAAACTATCTCTGGAAAAGGCACTCTTGATAAAAGATGCGCTGTACTTGGAAGCTGTGTGTGTTCGTTGGCACAAAATGCAAAGTGGCTTTCCTAAGTGACTTCATCGCCCCAAACACTAGCCCATGTGCAATAACTGCTTCACTATCAGAAGATAAACATTTCTCCTACACACGGTGGCCTGGTGAGAAAGGCATCCTGCTGCACACTCTCATCCCCTCTCTTTCCTTCTCCCTCAGGGCATTATGCTGCTGAATCAGACCTCAAAGCCACCTACTCCGAGCGAGGGACACCCTTTTCTGGGGACCGGAGTACAGATGCCTTTCAGGTGACAGTGCCTTCAAGAAGTGAGATGCCCGTTGGCAGCGAGATTTCCCCAGTGAGTGAAATGCCTGCCAATGGGGAGCTCTCCTCAGAGACTGACTATGATTATTCAGAAGAGTATGATGATAAGGAACCACAAATACCTGGCTATGTGGTGGATGATTCAATCAGAGGTGAGTAAGTCATGATGTCAGATAGGAGTTTGCAAGGGTCGAAACTGCTTCAAAGAAAAGCCACATCAGGTTTTCCAGTGGGCTTTCTTGTGTCTGTCCCTGTTCCATTCCCCTTTGGGTGAGCTGCAGACTGAGATGGACAGAACTGGATGTGGACACATGTCACATTTCCTGAGTTCACCAAATGCTCTGTCCATTAGTCTAATATTCACAACCCCGTTAAGGAGTAGGAATTCTTGTCCTCATTGGACAGGTAAGAACACTGCAGTTTAAAAGGTCCTCCAGTTGGCAAGCAGTCAAGGCAAACTTGGGACTCCAGTTAGTTTGATTCCAGATATGAGGAGGGTTCCCACCCTACCACGTGACCTGGATTTTGAGCAACAGAGGCATCAGCCACTCCTGTCTACTTTGTGTGTTGGCTTTTGTCTTAGCTCCCTGGCCATCATATAATTGCATCTTAGCCCAAATAAGGAAACAAAATAAAGTAATGGGTCTGGACAAATTGGAAATTCTCTATTGAGTATTAAGAAACAGGTGGCAAGGTTGAAAATAATGATAATAATAAGAAAATTAGCCTTCTTAGCAGATTAGACCAGAGCAATTTGCATGGTTAACACCACAATTTAACCGCAAACCCCATCTGTCAGTTATGTAATCGTGACCCATGTTTCCTCGTCGTTTGTTGTTAAAGGATCTTTAAAAGAGGATTTGCTTAAAATGCGGGTATTCCACTGAGATATTGTTCATTACCATCATATGACTTGGACTTGGAGGGCACAAAAGACCATAAATAAAGCAGATCAAAATATCCCCTCTAGAGGCAGGGTCTGAATGGCCTAAGAGTGCCTATAGCTTCTGGCCCCCTTGACTCCTGTCCCTGTGCCTGATTCCAGCCTAGGGGTAGGAGATCAGGCATCACCAAAGGGGCCAATGGCTGGACCAAGTATTGGGTGGAAAAGGCTTTGGTGAACCCTCCACCTCATTTCCTCCCTCCATGTGTTCCTGTGCTGTTCATGTGAGGAGGTGAAGCAGAGTCCCATGGCTCTTATATTTAAAGGGGCGGGAAGGATATCCGGAAACTGTCCCCTTAGAACAGTTTCATGTTGTTACAAAGCACTTATGGACTGGCCAAAAAAGCGTCAGCGACGAAAATGGCCACTGCACAAAACTGCAGTGCCTCATGAAATAGAGTGAAATGTTAGGCGCACTCATTTGACATACTGTGAATGTCCATGCAGTTAATGTCTATTGTAATATGTAGCCTAGTGACTACATCTGTCATTTCTAATCTGTATGACAAAGTGCAGTGAGGTTCATTTGAAGTGCTTCTATTAAGAGGATTTCAGTCCAACTGGTGGGAAACTTTTATCATTAAAGGAAAGTTTCGGTACAAAAGCCACATAACCATCTCTTGCATGTTCCTAATTTTACTTTGTTAACACTAATATAGCATGCTAAAGTCTTCATAGCATTGATTTGTCATCTTCTTGATCAGATGGGTTCTATCTTTGATTTTCTTAACTCATCACTATATTTCTAATGCTGACTACTTAATGGGTGCTGGATGACTGGTAGGACTGATCTCACTGGTATTTTTTTCTCTTCATTGGCCTCTGCCTGCTAAATAGTTCCTCACATAAACCTATCCAGGAATTACCATAGGAAACATGCAAAGTCCTCTTTCCCTGTCTGTATATGGATAAGCTACACCTTGTGTAATTATAATACTAGGCAAAGGATTCTGGAGATCTTTTCTGTGAATGAATTAAGATGCATTTCTGAAACATCAAATATTTGGGGACTTCTAATTTCAAATAGATTGAACACAGAAATGAGTCCCATGACAGGCATCAATTCATTATAATTTGTTGTGCTCTGGGAGTTGGAGAAAGTTGACTCACTCTAATGAATAATTCTTGGTTTCCTACATCCCCTTCAGGTAACCAGTGCCAGCAAACAAACTATTTCAGGGCAACCATAGATGTTCATGTCTTTTTTCTGAAGTGTTTCTGGGTTTATTTGAAATACCAACCTTTCTGCTGGCTGCTCAAGTAAGAAGCACAGCAAACCCCCTGCCATTTGAATTCAACTCATAGCAATCCTTATGGGTTTCAGAGACAGCAAATTGTTACAGGAGCAGAGAGGCTCACCTTTCTCCTTTAGAGCAGCTGATGGTTTGATACACAACCTTGCAGTTAGCAGTCTGGTCCCTAATCCACGGTGCTACAAAGGCCCTTGTTAGTTTCCAATTATGAAAGTGGAGATAAGGCTGACATGCTAAATAAAATCTACAAATATGCCTCAAGCCTCATTTCAATCAATGGCATGGATTTTTCCTTAGAAAAAGCATTGCATAGCGTAAAATTAATAGGCTTTGAGAGGCCGGCCCTGCAATTTTCCAGTTGCTTGTCTGAGGGCAAGTTAATTCTCTTTACTGAACTTGTTTCTTCAGCTTCATCATGTGGCTATAAAATTGCGATTTGGGTTAATCACATTGACGCTTATTGCCAAGAACTTGCTGTGTATTACAATTGTAGAAGAGTTTAAAGTATTTCAAGGATTTTCTTAGACACATAAGTCCTGTTATCAATAATAACAACGAAAATAATAATAGTTCTAATAATCCAATCACACTCAGAAATATACTTCTAGTCTAGGAAAATATCACAGGGGCTCAGACTTTTAAATGGCACACCATACTGATGTGTCCTTTGACGGCTTATTGTGTAAGTAAGCATGGTGTTAAGTAGGGAAACAAAATGGGGTCTCACTGCCCTAACTTCTTTTGCTCATGTTTCCAAGATGATATTCAACATGAAGACTGTTGTTAATAAATTTTATTTTGTTTCCTTTTTTTTTTTTAGTGGAACAGGTAATTAAACCCCCCAGAAACAAAACAGAAAGTGGAAAGACATCAAACAAACCAAAAAGAAAGAAAAAGGATGGCAAAAATGGAAAAAACAAAAGGAACCGGAAGAAGAAAACTCCGTGTGATGCGGAATTCCAAAATTTCTGCATTCATGGAGAATGCAAATACATAGAGAACCTGTCAGTGGTAACGTGCAAGTAAGTTTTCCTGAATTACAGAAATTTTTTGTTTCTAACACTATGTCTGAAGTTCTTAGCTTCAGACATGATTTTTTCTCAATATATACAAGAGTCATAAAACTTTTTCTTGTAAGACCAGATAGTAAATATTTTAGGCTTCATGGACCAAGATGGTGTATATACCTTTATAGCTACATGGAACATAACAGTTTAAAGTATAGCATTCATTCTTAAGCTTGTAGGTTGTGAACAAGAAGAACAAGGGCCCTAGTAAACAATGTATGGCAATCCCTTTTTCCCCCAAAGAAAAAGAAAAAAAACCCAATAACCCCAAACTAAGCATGAAGTTCAATGTGTATGAAACTCTTTTAAAAGTGACCTAAGGTACTTTTCATATAATCTTTCATGTTGTTCTAGCACCTAATGCCTACCCTCTCAAAAACACTGCAAGCATATTAAATGATCATGGAATTTTTTAAGTGCATAATAAAACCCTGAACTCCTCAGGTGGTCATGAAAAAGAGCAAAAAGAATGAAAAGGTGGTTCTTCCTGGAATATCACAGCCAAACTAATCTCAACTTGTTCTTACACTAATAGGTATTCGTCTAGAACCCATGCTGTGTCTCCGGATTTCACACTACAGATATAGGGCTGGCTCTGCTTTTTTTAGATATTAGCATCGAATGGCTGCTTATACCTTGGAAAGCTTTAGTGACTCTCATTTGAAATGTGGGTTCTTTGCAGATGTCATCAGGATTACTCTGGTGAACGATGTGGTGAAAAGTCTATGAAGACTCAGAAGGTGATCGATGGTGATTTGTCGAAAATCGCTTTAGCAGCCATAGTTGCCTTTGTCTTTGCAGTGAGCCTCGCGGCTGTTGTCGTTGTTATCACAGCCCAGTAAGTATGGGGGGATTGTAAAATTCCTCTGGAGATAATTCCAGGTTAATATTTCCCAGTATTTCCATCATCCTCTGATATCAAGTTCCTGGTGAAATAGTCTATGGGTGGTACTTGGTCTTTGGTTTATATGTGAGAGAGCTTCCAGAAGTCCATGGATTCCAGGACTAGTCACCCTCCAGGTCTAGAACTTAACTCATGGTAAAATTATCCATCAAGTGCAAGAGGGCAGCTTTCCCTCAGGATCAAAGCCCAGGAAAGAAGGAAAAGAGGGGTGCCCCGAGGGGCTTGACGTGGGTCGCTTGAAACAAAATGTATAGAAATTGTTGTGGGTGAAGTGATGATTGGCTTTGTAAACTGTCTTCTAATTCATGACAGAAAGTTTAAAAAAAAGTTTGTAGAACATTTCCATTATCATTTAAATCTATTTTACATGACTCTTTTTGATGACTCCTCCCATATGCATTTCATTGACAAAGATCACAAAATAGGGTCAAGATATATAGTGATATTTTGGTCACCATTGGAATTTAATAGGTAAAATCCTTTTTCAGAAGTCCTGGAATTGTTTTTAAGTTAAATGAACATTTTGTTTACTACAGGTTACATTCCCACTCCTGTATTGGCAGGAGTATTGGCAACTTCTGTGAATACCTTTACGCTTAAAGTCTTCCTGTGACTGTAGACCTTTATGCTAAGCTGTGAGAGATAACTGCTTTGGTACTAAAGAAAGAAAGAAAAAAAACCAATAGCCAGGAGAATTTATACCTCCTGTTCAGATAAGAATGCAAATCCCTGAATTAGGAAATTTATGGAATGGTGCTGATATGCTTAGAACTTGTATTGTGTGCTACTTTCAAGTACAGGCAGTATGGGAACTGATTTAAAAACAAAACAAACCCCACCCAACAAACCTTTCCTTTACCTGGCTCAGTGCTGGGAGCAGGGACAATTCCAGCACTACTCCACTCCAGCTGTGCCTTGCCTGTGCTCATGATGTCACAGATCGCCTTCTTGACTTGAGGAACAATACATTCTACAACCAGACTCTTTGGCCCTGATGAGGCGGTCAAATGCCCTTGTCTGTTAAAGAGGAGTCACTGAGGGAGGGAGGCTGGGGAGGGTTGAATGGTTCTGTGATGACTCATTCGTTATTCCAGCTTGGGAAAAGCTTGGACTCATTCTTCTAATTTTAGGTCTTAGTAAATTACTTCAACAACTGGGTTGTGCACACTCTTATCATTTAGGAAACCATCTTCTGCTGTATTGTATTATTCACTGTTTACATGCAGAGCAGAAAACAATTAAATGATATGTGAAAAAAAAAACCCACAACTCTCTTCCCATGTGCATAAAGTCTGCTATTTGCTGTATATTTATCTTGTACTCTATAGAATTTATTCTGGGATTTTAGTGCTTCAAGCCATGTAAGCAGATGTATTTAGGAAAGGTACACACAGGCAGTCCATTGCTATTAGTACAGCAGGCTTGAGGGGAAAGAAAAGTGCCAGTTAGGGAAAATGTTTTGCAATAATCACGATTTAAAGTTGAAATCATTAAAGTGTAAAATTTCAATATTACTTTGGAAAGCTTGGGAACATTTTGTCATGGTGGCATTTAAAAATCATGTTCTCCCTGTATTTGAAATCCACTCACATGCATTAATGCCCAAACCGTAAATGCTGTTTTCGTTGTAGTTGAGGTGAGCAATTCCCCCCACAAACATCACAACAAATGATAGGGTATTTATTATTGAAATACAGTATTTAGAAGATGGATTCAATTTAGACTAAGTGAAATTATAACTGCTTGCACAGTACCAAGAAGATTTTAAACCACTGTGCTTTTTAATAGAAAGCAATACTAAGTGAAACTAGAAGGAAACATTTATAATCTTTAGAAATAAGTAAAATCCAATTTGTTTTATAAGCCTGTTAAAAAATCCAACTAAGTTACTTTGTGCAAGCTTGGATTTTTCACAGGATAGAACTATTCAGATAGAACTGTACTGCTTCTTCCTCCATCCATGTGCTGTAACCCTGCTAATTTCTACAGAAAAAAATATGTTGATGTGTTCCATTGCTTTTAAAATTTACATCTCAGTATGTAATCAAATCTGTGTCCTCTAAAAATATTGAAGTTGACATAAACACCTTTAAAATATGCTGATATTTTATAACTAAGTGATAACTTTTTCTTTAAAGAATTCGAAAACGATATTTCAACTGTGAAGAAGAAACAGAAGAAAGAAAGAAACTTCGGCAAGAAAATAATGCTCCTACCATTGTATAAGTGAAGAGAACATTACAGGTTAGACTTTTAAAGAGCTAGCCTTAGATGATAGCCTATCGTTTTGGACAATATAGCACCTATTATCAAGAAAAATGAGGAAAATTAGGTGTTCTTAATTAAGGATGAACTGTAAACAGTGGTTACATTAAAATGTTTATCTTTGGGCATGAGATAGCACTTAATCCTAAGAATCAACCATGCGCTCAGTTCAGGAATATAAGGGATTTAAAGGTGAAGAGGAAGCAGATCCTATACTTTAGAGAGCTAAGCATCTAGCAGATGGGAAAACAAGATGTAAGCGCCCAGACTGCCAGGGAAGCAAGGTAACTGTCTTGGGATGGAGCCAATGGAGTATGGAGAGTTTCTCGTGGAAGCCTGAAAAAGCCCCGTAGGCTGGCTTGCAGAAACACGGATGCAGTTGGATCCTGCCATTACGATGAAAATAATGTTATTAGAGAGAATTGATCATTGAAGAATTGCCGTAAGTGGCCCAGGTAGAATAGATTTCCAGGGAAATAGATCCTAAGGGGAAGTTGCACTCCTAGATGTGGGAGACAGCCACAATCCGGGAGAGCACTGACAAGATGAAAAGGTGCCTATTAAGACAGAAGAGCAGTCTTAGAGAGACCAAACAGAAAGAGATGGGGAAACAGATTAGAAAAAGAGTGGCAAGCATAACTGGTTTCTTACAAAGCAGATGGAAAAACGGAATTAATAAAAAGAGCATGGAGTTTTCATGTGCTTTTGGGAACCCCTTTGCCTTTGGTAAAGAGAAGCAGCTGTTGATGGTGCTGCTAGTAGGCAAAAGATATGAAGAGGATACTTCTTTGAATGCATCCGTGTCGAGCTAAGGATGGAAACTCCCAGAAGAATAAGGAGGCCAGGAGATCCAGGACACGCTTAAGTCAGGTAGAAGGGGGACTCATTTCCCGAGGCAGGCAGGAAAGCAGATGGCACACCTTCAGCCGTCGTTTTCTCTAAAGTTCCTGCATGAAAGAAAGCCTCGATGCTTGTTAAGTGTGTGGGGGTACTCCAAAGTCCAATTTTCTAGTTAGGTGCCGTGGAGTTTCTCCAGACTTACAGTCCTACGGACCATAGAATAGTGCACAGTCTTGCACTACGCTGTGCTTGCGCCCATTGGTGCGGCCACTGTGTAGGACCTTCTAACCTGGGGGCTCCTTTCTGGAGCTCTGAAAGCCAATGGCCTGCAGCTATCCATAATAAGCTTTCCACTGGCCAATCTTTTTCAGAAGTAGATCATCAGATGGTCCTTCTTCTGAGTCTGTCTTAATCTGGAAGCTCAGTGGAAACCTGCTCAGGCGAAGTGATCTCATTGGCAATTGATAGACTAGTAACAGAGCTTCAAGCATCACAGAGGTACACAAGCTCCCTCAGTCCAACAGAGAGACAGACGAAAGGCGGTGGTGCCCAGCCTTCAATCTACCGAATCTGGATTTTCAGTGAACACTCCAGTTGTTTGTGATGAATGTAGTCTCCTAACAATATTCGGGAACCACTAGCTTCACCATTGCATGGTGCAGACCTTCTATCTGAGGCTAGCACAGAGATAATTATCCAGGTCAATGGTATTCTCAGTACTTATTGTATCCAAATGTATTAATTTCTTGGTTTACTGTGCTAAGGCTCAGAACAGTGGAACAATAGGGTAGGTTTGGGGTTGCCCTGTATAATTGAGACTTTCCCGAGAAGATCCCGGAATGATTTTTGGAAGAGGAATATGCTGTGCTGGCACAGAGTGGCTTCCTATTCACTTGCAGCTACTATTATTATGCCCGTAGTACTAATTATCCTAAATTAACTGTACATTATAAATACTCTGAGCCACTTAATCCTGGTTTGTAATTATGTCCACTGCACAGATTTGGTTAGGAAAACCATCTCTCATGATGGCTGTTGCTTTTTCATTAAGCAGAATTGGATTTGATGAAACAGGTTTGAGCACTGTAGTTTTCGACCTCAGTAAGCAGATAACCAAAGCCCTCAGGAAAGAGGAATTCAAATCAAAGGGTGAAGTTTGTCTGTCAAAAAGCTCTTGCCATTTTTCATAAACCACGTGGAATAAAGAAAATGGCAACATATCTGCCTGCTGATTGCGCTTTGAAATTTTCCTAAGGCTACATTGGAATTGAGCGTGTTGCCGACCTTTGTTTATTTTCTCACAGGAGTTGGGTCCTCGGAGCCCCTGTCCGGTGAGCGCCAGAGCAGCGTCGCTCCCCTTTTCAGGGGATCGTGACAAAAGGGAACCAGTTTGTTCTGATGGTTTTCAACGTTCAAGCGTCACTTTTTGTGTTGAGTCTTATTTCTGTACATAACGATGGATGGAGAGAATAATATTTTTTCAAATTGTAAATAATTTATTTAATATTTAATGGAAGTGTATTTATTTTACATCTCATTAAACTTTTTTTTAATCAAATGCAGATTGAGAGTTTGAATATGATTTTGGGGGATGGAAGTGCTCTCCTGAAGCTGGGGACATTGTCTCAAAAGGATTTCCTCCTCATCTCCACCCTCCCTGGCCCCCACTGTTTTCATGCTGACCTTTAAAATGTATTCCTTTTCTTATAAAGTAGAGTTGACAGCGAGCATGATAAACTAGTCAGTTAAGGATACAGTTACTGTGCCACTGATTCTGACTCATGGTGCTAGAGGAGAGCTGTGTTCCACACAGTGTTCATTAACAGAATTTTCAAAAGCAGATTGCCAGGCCTTTCTTCCGAGTCACACCCCCCCCAGTAAGCAGAAATCTCTAACCCTTTCAGTTAGCAGCCAAAGTACTACAGAGTCACTTAGTCTTCGCATGAAATCAAATGTGCTAACCCAGTTGTTTATTATTCCTTACAGGGTTTATAACTGAAACAACTCCAAGGCATATCTATTTACCTCAAGTTGATTCTCACTCATTTTGATTCACTGCCTTCTGGGGTTTCCAAGGCAGACCTGGTGGTTAGCAGTGCAGTGTTTAACCACTGCTGATGTATCCATGACTTCAAAAACTCCCTACCTAGCTGAGGGAGGAAAGATGTTTTGTCATTAACTCACACCAAATTCACTGCCATTGAGTTGCGGCCATCTCATAGCAAACCAATAGGAAAAGCAGTCCTACCCCTGCGGATTTCCGAGACTGTAACCCTTTACAGAGATAGAAAGCTTCATCTTTCTCCCTCAGGGTAGCTTGTGGTTTCAAACAGCAGACCTTGTGGTTAGGAACCCAACATGTAACCACTATTCCACGATGACTCCTTGTCATCGTCTTGTCATTACAGTGCAGTAAGTGCTGTACCAGGGAAGCCTGAGAGCTCTCACCAAACCCTGCCTAAAGGAGCCTTGGAGAGATACCACTTGAGATTATCCTAGAAGGGTAAACAGAAGCAGTGTAGTGAATGAAGATCATTATAGGCATCAGAAGATGTACAAAGGTATCAAGTAGTATGGTATGATAGGGAAAATGCAAACATATTATTAAAACAGAAAGTTAAATCAGCAGAGGTTGTAAAGGATTCTGGACAGGTGAGGGCAAGGCCACTGAGGGCTATGGTCTTATTCTGCATGTCAGGAGAAACTGTGCAGGCAGGAATAGAAACTGGATAAGATTTGCTTTCAAATAGGTCATGAGGCAATGGTGCCAAGGGTCAAAGGTCTGAAGATTAGTTGGAAGACGGTGGCTATATTCCAGGCAAAATAAACAGAGCACTCAAAGCCAAAGTTGGGGAAAAGTTGAACTTGGATTTGAGAATACTTTGTGTGTGTGTGTATATATATACTTTATGTATTCATATTTATACAAATAAAAGAAGATGATTTATTGGATGAGCGTTATGAGACAGTGAGAAGGAAGAAAAGAAATCCAAAGTGACCCACGAGATGACCTTTAAGTTCCTGGCTTAAGTGTCTGGGTGACATAATTAAAAGTAAAGGAATCTCTTGAACAAGTTGAATATTCCAGAAGGAAGCAGGGCTATTCATTTCTCCTTGATTACTCTTCCCTATTTTTAAGAGTCATCCTTTCTACCCTGCAACCTATCTCTGAGGAAATAAGGACCAGCCCAAGCAGTTACTCACTTGCCTCAGCCCTGGCTATTGCCTCATTTCTGAGTTTGAGAGTATCAGAGGAAAGCAGCAGGCCTACAAGTGTAATTATGAGTTCAATTTTGGATCTCTTCAGTTTGAGGTGCTAAGATACATTTAATAAGTTGATATAAAAATCTGAAGTTCTGATGTTCAGAGAGGAGAAGACTTATAGAGTGGACTTATCAAAATAGATTTGTTAACTGAAGCCACAGAAGTATTCAGCATTAACAATTAGACTTTACAGAGTCATAAGAAAATATATTTTTATTGAAAAATGCCCCCACTGGTCATAAACACTTGAAGGAAAATGTAAGTCGCTTTAACCACTGTGAAGAGTCTAGGCACTTGTCTGCTAGCCCCTTTGGAGGTTGTGTCCACCCAGAAGAAGGGACTGGCAGTTTACTTATGAAAACACAGCCATTCCAAACTCTGTTGGGTAAGCATTGGACTGTTAACTGCGTAGTTGCTGGTGATTCAAACCCACTAGCCCCTGGGAGAGTGAAATATGAGCTCTGCTCCCACCAAGATTGAGTCTCAGAAACCCTGTGTAGGGTGACAATGAGTCAGCAGCACAGACTTGATGGCAGGGTTGGTTTTTTTATCTTAGGGTTTTTTTTTTTATTAGTGATGATCCATTCAGAAAAACGCAAGTACAAATGATGGTACAATTTGAAGAATATTATCAGTATTTGATATGTAGCAGCTATGGACTTGATGTATGTTTCTCTGTACATAGTTTCAGCAATAACAACAACCAGGAAAATAAAATTATTTGAAAAATGGAAAATTAGACTTTATGAAGAACAGTTCTACTCTAACAGGCAGGGAGTTGCAATTAGCTCAATGGCAACTGGCGGTGGCCACAGTGGTAGTCCTAGGCACACCACACAACATAGCTCTTTCAGTCCTCACAACTGACTTCAAAGGTAGATACATTTTATAGACAAGTAAACAGAAGCTCAAAAGGAGGATGTAACTTTTCTGTGATCATGTAACTAATAAAATGCAGGCTCAATCTGTTTGGTACCAGAACTAGTCTCCGCAAACTTCTTTCTCTGTTGCTTCTCCTCTAGTTGCTGGGTTTGCTTAGGATTTAGAATATTCTATCTGCATACCAATACTGCTTACTTTCGAGATACCACTCATTTATGAGGTACTTAAATAGTGGTTTATAGATTCAATAGCTAGATAGCTGACACATTTTGACTTACCAGTGTTGACCCACACATTTCTCAATCCATACCATACCCCATCATCTCTTAAAGTATGACTTGTCCCTTATTTATGATATGCACATGCTGAATGATAAACAGAGACCAGACATACCAGCCAAATATATCTTGAAATTACACAAATTAAAGTTGGATACAGTAGAACCCCGGGACTCGACTGCATCAATACTCAACGTAATCTGATTTTGACCCAAAATGTCAAGACAATTTTGTGTTGGAGCTCAAACAAAACATCGGAATCCGACACGACACACGCATGTGATTTTTGTAAACATAATCAATTCCTGTTTTGATCATTCAGTGTTAGTTGGCATTGTTTAAACTTTTTGCAGCTGTGTTCTAAGCATTTTGCTATCATTTTCTTAGTTTCTGTGCTGTTTTTAGATAAAAATCATGGGTCCTAAGAAAGAGTTTTTTGAAAAGAATCATCCTGATAAGGAACAAGTAACCATGTTATTGATACTGTTGATGATAATTTAGTAACCCTTTTAGAGAACAGCGAAGGAAACAACAACAGCAGACCACATTAGACATGTCTTTTGTAGAGAAAGCCAGCCAGGTCCGAGTGAAAAAAGTCAAAGAAGAGAAAAAACTCCTGAAAAGCAGCTACCAATTGATTTCAAGGGGATTCCCCTTCCCAACAACGACTCTCCATTCCTCCTTTCCACATTCATGCCCACAAATCCAGATCCTCATCAGCCTCAAGGTATGGGCCATACTGTAGTTGTTGACAACTTTTTAAATGTGTTTCTCATTTAAATATATTATGTAACTCTGGACCTATTGACTGAAATTTCTGTGTAATGTTTTGTATAAAAAGGCAAGGCTAAGGTAAAAACTTGGTGGTCGAGAACAGATTAATCCATTTCAGTTATTTCTTATGGGAAAAAGTGATTTGGAACTTGACTGCATGCCTCTCAACGCTCCTTCTAGAATGAATTAGAGTTGAGATCCGGGGTTCCACTGTCCCTTTCTTTAACCAAAATAGTGAGTCCACTTTCTGAAAAGGCTGTTGTTCAACTAGTTAGATAACATATGTGTGTGTGTGTGTGTGTGTGTGTGTGTCTTGTTAAGAGAAAGACAATTCAAAAGGTATTCCTTGATATAAGGTTGTAGTAACAGCCTTTCTTTTTTGGAAGCAAATACCATTTAACAAATAACACCCAGCTCTCCATTCCTTTTCATGCATGGTCTCAGAAGGTAAAATTCTAAGGCCAAATTTAATTCAGGATTGGTCTCTGGCCAGTGCAATCAGGATCATGTGACCATTGTTCAGCTGGTCAATGCTCCCTGGGAGCACTGTTGGGAGAGGAGTGTGGTATCACAACCTTCAGAGGTGAAGTTTTACGGACATGCCTCCTTGTGGATTTTTCTCATAGAAGAACTGAGCATTTTCTCTACATGCCTGTTCTTCAATCTAAAC